GCCGCGACTCCTCAATCTGCAGCCACCATCGGCGTCACGAGAAGAACGACCGCGTCAGTGGATCAGGAGGCAGTGAAGGGGAGGGCAGTGAAGCTGAACAAGGAGCTGAAGAGGCTCAACACGTACTCTTCTTTTGTTAATGTGCTCACGCTCATGAGCTTGACTTGGCATCTGGTGCACTTGTCCAGGGGTTTGCAGATGACCTGTAGATAAATCAGTTTATAGACAGAAGAAGATGGTGTCGGTGTTTTTTTGTTTGTAGTTTGAAGTTAAGGCGCTTGTTACTTTGTGCTCGTGTCATTATGTGACATGGGGGGTTGACTTGTAAGTTAAAGACTACTGAACTAACTACAACAGACGTTTTCATGGTTGCCATTAAATTGTGATCTGTGTATTTGATGTTAAAAGGGATTCAACTATATATATTTTTAGGATCTATATCACTTGACTTTCGATTGCCTAAAAGGTCAGCTGCTAGAAATATTAGAACATTAGCTAGGATTGCTAAGATGGAACTAAAAATAAGCTTTCAAGATGCACCGTGCTTAAAAGTACTTTGAAGTAGAAAATATATTTTGGACATAGTTTCTCCTTTTGGAGGGAGAGAGAGGCGATTTTGGATCCTCTCCACCACAAAAAAAAAAAAAATAGTGGAGAGATTACTACTTTTAATCTCAATCGTTGATTACATAATAGACGATTATAAAACAATCTAAATCTAACACTTATCATATCTCCGTGTATTGCACTCATTCTTAATTTGCACTAAAAAAAATCACAACCACAAACTAGATAATTAATAATTATGATTATGTAATGGTCTCTCCGTTACTTTTTAGATAGGGAAGAGTATTCGAATACGAGAGAGGCTCAATTTGAGTCACAAACACTTGCCCTGCGTGATACGGATGCACATGTCGCATTAAACGCGATACAGACGCACATGCGCATTAAGGTTTTTTGACGCACATGTGCATTAAGAAGCCGCACATGTGCATTAAGAAGCCGATACGGACGCACATGGGCATTAAGGTTTCTTGGATCTGGTTGCCTAAATTTCAATTTCTAGTTTTGGACTCGGTAAAAGTTTCTTGGATTTGATTGCCTAATTTTCAATTTCTAGTTTTGGACTCTACTAAACTTGTGTGCATACCAGAGCCGCTCTTTGTAGATGAACGTACCTCCGGCGACGGCGGAGACGAGGCGAGGAATCGGAGCTCGCCTGATGAGATCGAGGAGGCGAGGAAGCTCCTGTTGGCGAGGTGCAGGTGAGGGACTCGCCTGATGGTGAGGTCGAGGAAGTTCAGTGCTCGCCTGAAGCTGGAAGCTCGCCTGTAGATGTTTGGTGGAAAATTTGTAGTAAAAAGAATGAAAGAAATTTGATTTGTATTCTCTCGATCTCGATTATAAT